CCAACCCGAAGGCCCAAATTGACCCTCGATTTCCAGTTGGGGGGGTCGGGGAACATCGAAAAAACACATGTGGAACCCGTACCCCCCCCAACCCGAAACTTGCGTCTTCGGGTTGGGTTGGGGTGGTCTGGTAGGTAGTCATACCTCGCAGCCCGAGTCCGAGGCGGCAGAAAAGGGCTCAAGAGGGCAGCCGTCAGCGAACACGTGGGACCCCGCCTCCGAAATAACCCCCCGCAGGCCAATTGGGCCTACGCGCGGTGCCCTAGGGAGGGCCAGGCGGGGCCCTGGACCAGCAGGACAAAGTTCCTGGGCCCGTGGGGGCAGGCCCGAAATGAAGACCGAAGCAGCCTCCAGGTCAGAGCCACGGCAGTCCCTGCGCCATGCGGCGTGCGCGGGGTACCCAAGTCGACGATGAAACAGCGTCCCGCAGCTCTCGCTGCACAGCAGGCAAAATGGCGAGAGTTCCTGGCAGCGTTCGGCGAAACGCTGCTGACACCAGTGCCTGTTGGCCTGAAGGCCTCCCAAGCACTTGTGGCAGCGAACTGTCGACGAAGCCGAATCGGACGACAGCACATCCAGGGCCGTATTGATCCAGATCGGGTCAACCCACTCGCTTCCAAAGTGGGATTGACGTGTCTGCTCATCAGCCACGATAGCACCGGCTACAGCTTCACGAACGCGCAAATCGAAAAAGGAAGGCGAGCAAGCCGACAGGCCCCAAGACCTCCCAACGTGATCTACTAGCGACTCGTTCTCAAAATCGGGACGCCATCCAATCCTGGCCAAAGCACTAGAGCCGCCAGGGGCTGGCTGGCGGCACTCGACGGTTTTACCTTGGCCGAGGCTCGCATAGCATCCTGAATCGCAGAGGCCAAAACAGCCCTTCAGACAGATCTATTTCACGAGACAGAGACACAAGTCTTGAGCGCCGCTGCAGCTACAGGACAGGGGGTCCTTCTGGACACCACCACGGAGGAGGAGCGAGAGTCCCAAGGAGGATCCAGGCTGCAGGGGCCCAGGAGAAAGGGCCACTGCTGCTCGAAGGGTGCGGAGGGCCTGATCTCTGGGACCCGTGATGTGCCCCCCCCCCCCCCAAATCGGTGCTGATGCTGAGGATGATGAGGATACTGATCATGCTGATGCTGATGATGACGACGACGATGATGATGCTGCTGATGATGATGCTGCTGCTGATGATGATGAGGATGATGACGATGTTGAAAATGGTGGTGGTGGTGGTGAGGAGGATGATGAGGATGATGAGAAGTGGATGAGGGAAGCTGGATAATGCTGTTGATGATGGTGATGACCATGATCATGTTGCTTGTGATGCTGCTGATGATGATGCTGAGGAGGAGGAGCAGGAGGAGGAGGAGAGGAGATGATGAGGATGCTGATGAGGAGGAAGTGCAGCTGCGGGGACGGGGGATGATGAGGATGAGGATGAGCATGAGGATGACGATGATGATGCTGATGCTGATGATGCTGCTGCTACTGCTGATGATGATGAGGCTGATGATGATGCTGATGATGATGATGATGCTGATGCCGATGATGATGCTGATGGTGCTGCTGATGATGCTGATGATGACGATTAGGATGATGGCGACGCTGATGTTTATCATTATCACATTATTAACGTTATTACTATCGGTACCAATCTTATTTTCATTATCATCATGGTGGTTTCGTTTGTCATTATCATATCAATCAGTATTGCACTTTCTGTTATACTTCTTAGTTTGGTTGTTATCGTTATTGTTATGCTGCTGATGCTGATGATGAATATGATGACGATTGTGATGATGCTGCTGATGATGATGATGATGATGATGATGTTGTTGGCCATGATGATGATGATGATGATGGTGGTGATGATGATGATGATGATGGTGGTGATGATCATGCTGATGCTGCGGATGATGATGCTGATGATAATGCTGCTGATGATGAGGATGATGGTGCTGCTGCTGATGAAGATGACGTTGCTGATGCGGACGATGATCTTGTTGCTGATGCTGCTGATGATGCTGCTGATGCTGACTCTGATGCAGATACTATGACGCAGATGATGACGCTGATGAGGCCGATGATGACGATGATGATGATGGTGATGATGCTGATGATGATCATGTTGATGATGGTGGTGATGATGCTGATGATGATGCTGGTGATGATGATTTTGATTGGTGATGCTGATCACGCTGCTCTTCATGATGATGCCGCTGATGCTGATGATGGTGATGATAATGATGCTGATGATGACGTTGTCGACGATGATGATGCCGCTGCTGCTGCTGATGATGCTGCTGCTGATGATGACGATGATGATGGTTGTGGTGGTGGTGGCTGTGATGCCGGTGATTATCATGATGACGATGACGATGATGACACTTGTGTTTATGATGCTGCTACAGATGATAATGCTGATGCTGCTGATGATGTTATTGAATCGCTTCGCTCATTCCGCCGGCCCGTGATATGGCATCGCTGGTTTTTGTCTGTGTGTTCGTTGCCCATGTTGCGCTCTTGGGGGCGGGTGTCGTTCGGACGCGTTGCGTGGGGAGTTTTGATGGTGAAGCAGTTCCCTGGGGGTCGTCTCTCGATGGGGCGAAATAGAGTCGTCGTCAAGATGCTTCTTTGGGGGGCCTCTTGGGGTCTGTTGAGAGGCCGTTCGGGGGCGCCTGGGAGACATGTTTGAAGCCTTCTGGGGCTTCTTTTGGGCCTCCTGGGAGTCTCCTGGGGCCTCTTGGCGACATCTTGGGGCCTCTTGGAGGCCTCTTGGGGCCTCTTTGGGACCTCCTGGGCGCCTTCTGGGACGGAGGGCTCCATTTTTGAGTTCTCGGTATCCCTCCTGAGTCCCTCTTGGGCCCGTCTTGGGGCCTCTTGGTCCGTCTTGGGCGGCACTTGGGCCGTCTTGAGGGCTCTCTTGGGTCGTTTCGGCGCCGTCTTGGGAGCTTCGTGGGCCGTCTTGGAGCGGTCTTGGGGGCCTCTTGGGCCGTCTTGGAGCGTCCGGAAGCCGAAAAAGCCAGAACACAAAAAACATCGAAAAAACCAATGAAAATCAACGATTTTGGCCTCTTGGGGCTCTCTTCGGAGGCCTCTTGGAAGGCTCTTGGGGCGTCTTGGAGGCCTCTTGGGCTGTCTTGGGGGCCTTTTGGGCCGTCTTGGGGTCATCTTCGGCGTCTTCGAGCGCTCTTTGGGCGTCTCGGGGGCCTCTTGGGCAGTCTTGGGGGCCTCTTGGGGCACTCTGAGCGCGCTCTGGGGAGCCTGAGAGGCCGCACCCAGAAGGAAAACCATCTCTGAGTAGACTTGGTCGGGCGGCGGTCGGGCGGCGGTCGGGCGGCGACCGGGCGGCGACCAGGCGTTGGTCGGGGTACTTTTCGCCGGGGGACCCCCAGGGGCCGCCCCGCGCGCGCGAACTAGAAATACTGTTAATACTGTTAACCAGTTACCGGAGATCTTAGCACGCCCTGGCCCGTTGGGCCGGCGAATTGTTGTTGTTTGACGATGGTGACGATGATCGTGATGATGATGGTCATGATGATGATGATGCTGATGATGACGGTGATGATCATGATGAGATGTGGAGGAGGATGAGGAGGATACGGATGATGATGATGACGAGGAGGAGGACAGCGAAGTGGGATGAGGATGTTGCTGCTGCTGATGATGTTGATTCTGAAGATACTGCGGATGGCGACGACTATGACGACGATGATGATGCGGATGATGATGATGCGGATGATGATGATGATGATGCTAATGCTGCTGATGATCATCATCATGAGGCTGCTGCTGATGATGTTGATGAGGATGAGGACAGTGATGATGATGACGATGATGACGATGACGATGACGATTATGTTAGTGCGGACGATAACGATGATTGTCTAGATGATGATGGTGATGATGAGGAGGAGGAGAAAGAAGGAGGAGGAGGAGGAGGAGGAGGAGGAGGAGGGAGATGCTGGAGAGCGAGGTGGGCATCCTGTATATGATCGCCCACATCGGCATGAAGGAGGCGTCCTTGTCGAAGGGCACGGGCGAGCTCTGAACCGCGGCGACAATGCCGCGCCCGCGGCGCCAGAAGCGGTGGTGGAGGAGGAGGAGGAGGAGTAGGAGGAGGAGGAGGAATATAATCAGGATGAGGCGGATGAGGAAGACTATGCGAAGGCTGGTGATATGGAGCGGGACGAGGAGGAGGAGGAGGAGGAGAAGGAAGAATGACATGTAATTTGAACTTTGGCGTAGTCATACAATCATCGGTGCCCTCCCTCCGATCGAAACTTCGCCAGAATCGCGACCATCGGCCCCCTCGGCACCGCAGCCCGTGAGCGAAAAACCTTGGCATCTTGTAGTGACTCGCCCTCTCAGAAGGCGAGCCGGCCTCAGGCAGCGCCGCCTTCTCGAAGTCTCCAGCTCCAGCGGGGACAGGTGCGGGGCGCGCCGCAGCCGCGATTTTCGAAGCCAGCTGCCAGCTTCGCCCGCTCTTCCGCCTCGGAGGGGTCTTGATGATCAGCGTCCCTTGCACCTTCAGCCTCCGAGGCCTCTAGCCAGGCTTCGGCGACACGCTGCCGTGCCATCCGCCAGGCCTTGGACGACGGGGCAACAAGTTCGGGCCGCACCGCAGCGGCAGGCACAGCAGCCATGCTCCGCGCAGCTGCCAGCTCCACCTGAAGCTCCTCCACCTCCGCGGGGACTTCAGCGCCTCTCTCGCCTCCAGCCTGGCGAGCGGCTCCTCCATGCGGCAGAGGCGAAAGATCTGCAGGCGTCCTACCATCGTCCCACCACCTGTTACGGGCACTGGGGAGCGGCCACTCTGCCCACCTCCTGGGCCGACTCCCCCGTGCAGGCCACTTCCCCCGCCACCTGTGCCTCCGCATCTTGAGAGAAAAGTGTAGCAGATCCCGGCCCTTCTACCAGAGGGCCCCTTCCTGGGAGAATCGGACCGCCTTGCAGGCCCCAGGCGCAACCGAGCGCCGCAAGGAGGGGCGAACCTGCTCCCCGGGGCAGAGCCGCACGCCAGCCGGGCGGACGGGCCAGACAGGAGCCGCCTCGTGGCGAAGCCCTTGTTGCTGGACGGGCGACGCGGAGATGACCTTCGACGGCCGCTGCTCCAAGCCTGCCTTGCGCACCTGCATGCCCTCGCTCTGGACCGCGGCGTCGCACGCCACGCCAATCCCTTCAAAGGGGACGCTCGCGCGGGCCCCGGGCCTTGCCCCCCATGCTTTTGCAGCCGCCGCAACCGCTCGATCGGTGCTGTCGCCACCCGCACCTCGTGGGTGTCGGAGTGCGAGGAGAGGCGAGGGGAGGAGGGCGAGGAGGAGGAGGAGGAGGGAGAGGCGATAGGGAGGAGGGCAAGGAGGAGGAGGAGGAGGAGCCACATTCCGCCGCAGCGCCTGCGCCGCCGACTGCACGCGCCCAGCGAGCTTCTCCCCTGGGGCGGGTGCCAACGACACGATGCAATCGGCCATCTACTCGCATACGAAGATGATGGCGAGGTCGCTGAGGACCGCGTCGAAATAAGCCCGCACACGGCCGAGCTCGCCGGACAGCTCGACGATGGCTCGGTCTGCAGACTGCAGACTGCCTGGCCCACAGCTGCCCAGACTTGCGGTCTGCTGCGTTGCGGCGCAATGCGTGTGTGTGTGTGTGTGTGTGTGTGTGTGTGTGTGTGTGTATGTTTGTGTGCAATTCCACCTCCTGCGTTGCCTCCTTCTCCTCCTCCGCCTCCTCCTCCTGCTTCCCCTCCTCCTCCTCCTGCTCCTCCTCCTCTTCCTCCTCCTCCTCCTCCTCCTCCTCCTCCTCCTCCTCCTCCTCCTCCTCCTCCCTCCTCCCCCCCCCTCCTCCTCCCCCTCCTCCTCCTCCCTCCTCCTCCCCCTCCTCCTCCTCCTCCTCCTCCTCCTCCTCCTCCTCATCTCCTCCCTTCTCTATCATCTCAAGCTTCGCGAAGGAGACCTGCTGCTCCATGCAGGGGAGGCGCCATGCCGACCTGGCTTGAGCAGTAGGGGGGTCGCTCGCTAATGGGCTGCTTGAGCCAAAGTGGCTACGGATGGACGAGGAGGATGAGGAGGATGAGGAGGAGGAGGAGGAGGAGGAGGAGGAGGAGGGGGAGGAGGAGGAGGAGGGGGAGGGGGAGAGGGATGAAGGGGAGATGGAGGACCAACTGAAACCAAGAGTATGTGTAAGACGAAGACCACGAGAAGATGAGGACGAGGACGCGGACTGTTGCAAATGGGGATGGGAAGGAGGGAGGGAAGGGGGCGCCCTGTTGGGGGCTTGTTGGGCCTCCTTGAGGGCTCTCTTGTTTCATCTCGTTGCCACCCAGGAGCCTCAGATGCCCGTCGGAAAACTAGAAGGCGAGGAAGGGGAATTCGCTGAACAAGCAATTCTTCCGCGATTCCGGCATCTCGGGGGGCATCCTTGGAGCCATGTTAGGGGATTTTTAGGCACTGGTAGAGGCTCAGGGGGGGAGAGGAAAATGGGGGGGGGAGGAGGGGAGATGGCGATCTCTACAGTCATATATGTGTATAAATGTATACCGACATATCAGTATGTCTGCGTATACACACCGACATTGACGACACACGCTCGTACGCACAGACGCACATACGTACATATACACATGCAGACATACACGTATTTATCTATACGTACCACTATGCATCCATACATGTAGGATGTGTGCACGTGCGCACGTCGCTTCTCCGCTGGTGCTTTGATGGCACGCCGTCAGCCGATGTTGGCATGTAGATCCTTGGAGCGTTCGATGTGGAACAAATTGTTGACGCTTCGTGTATCCCCACCACACCGTAGCCCCCTTGGCTCAAGGCCGCTCTGGCTCGAGGTTGCCGAGCTGGCCCGTCGCCCGCGCGCCTTGGGCCGGAGGTCGGCCCTGACCTCCGGCGTGCCCGGGAGGGAGCTGGGAAGGGGGGCCCCGTCCTGGCTCCCCCCCTCCCGTGCCATGGCGGGCGCTTCCCCGCGGCCGGCGGCTGGCGCTGGCGGTCCTCCGGGCGCGCCTGGTGCCGCTGCCGCTGCGTTGTCGCGTGCCGCCCGCCGCCGGGGCCAGCGGCGGGCGCTGGCTGCCCGCTGGGCTGCCGCCGCTGCCCCGCATCCTGGGCCCCCTCCGCCGTCCCCACAGCCGGGGGGTGGGCGTGACGCTGCTGGCGCCGCCGCCGCTGGTGCCGCTGCTTGGGCTGGCGTGCCCCGTGCTGCTGGCGGGAGCTGGGCTGCCGCCGCCGCGGCTGGTGGCCCGGCTGCTGCCGCCTCCTGCGCCGCGGACGCGGCGGCTGCCGCCGAGGCCTCCGCCGCCGCCGGCCTCTGGGACACGGCGGCTGCGCTGGTGCGTATGGCTGGCCGTGCCGCGGCCGCGGCTAGCGCGGCCCCGCGCCGCGTGGCGCCCGGGGGCTCCGGGCCCTCGGCTTGGTCGGCGGCCGCGACCTCCGCTGCGGCCGCGGCCGCCGCTGCCGCCGGGCCTGCCGCGCCGCCCGGGATAGCGTTCGTGGGCGAGCTGGGCGCTCAGGATCCCGGGATATCCTGGAACGCGGCTGAGTTTACTGCGGACGTTAGCTCGGACACCCTTGCCCAGAGGTGCCCGACAGAGCTGAAGCACGGCCGCGTGTGCATGGTTGCGACCCTGGGCTACATCATACCCGAGAGCACTAGCAAGCTGCCTGGATGCCGCCTGTCGCCGGCGGCCGGCCAGAGGTTCGTCGACCCCCCGCACGGCCTTGGAGCGCACTCCAAGGGTCTCGCGGCGGGCTGGGCGCAGATCGTGGCATATAACGCGTTCTGCGAGCTGCCACAGGTTCAGTCCGCTGGCACCGCTGCTGCTGCAGGCGCAGTCGGCTGGAAGGCGCGGCGGTTCAGTGACGCCGGGGGAAAACAGTCCAAGATGGCGGCGGAGATCGCGAACGCTCCCCTTCCCATGACGCCTCTCATCGGCATGTTCGTCCAGGACGGTTTGACAGGCTCCGCCTGGGGCGATTGGACTCTCTACACAGTATCCCCGCCGCGCACGCTCGAGAGCGAGCGCATGGTCAAGGAGGATGTGGACGACGATGAGGTGGAGGCGGAGGTCGAGGACGTGGAGGTGGAGGTGGAGGCGGAGGACGAAGACGTGGAGGTGGAGGCGGAAGACGAGGACGTGGACGAGGTGGACGAGGAGATGAAGCGGTCCTTGAACGCGGAGCTGGCCAGAGGCCGCCTGGCCAGGGTGGCCATCATCGGGGTGTTCCTCCAGGACGGCCTCATGGGCTCCGCCTGGGGCGACTGGGCGACCTACACGGATTCGCCGCTGCGCGCCGTCGATAGCGAGTGGGAACTGCAGGCGTTCGTGGCAGCGGGTGGGCGCCCTGCCTAGCCTCTGTGACTGGCCACCCTCCAGCCTCCCCGCTGCCCCTGGGCCGAAACCTGGCCAGCGACGCCGACCGCGCTGGCAGGTCGGGTGGCCGGCAGACGGCAGGCGGCGGACGCAGCAGCAGCAGCCGCAGAAGCAGCAGCAGGCGCCGCGCCGAGGACCAGCCGCTGACCACCCCGCCCCTGGTAGGGGGTCCCGCCGCGCGTCACTGTCCAGAACCTTTAGACCCAGACACGGGACAGCAGCTATATAAAACTAAGATCGACGACATCCAGTGGGACCTCCCGGGGAGACACCTGGCGAGACGATAAAGCGGCTTCAGGCCTCCCTGGGAGCGAGGTTCACAGGCGCCTGGCACGCGTTCGCCCAGCAGCACGCCTTGCCTAGCTGTAATGGCGCGCCCCGCGGCGGCACGACCAGCAGACGTGCGTCAACTTCCTGTCGTCCTTCCGCAGCCATAACTGTGACGTGCGGGCCATGGGCGACGCACTGGACCTCGGCGTTGACTGGGCGCAGGTGCGGCTTCGGTACCTGGGTGGAAGTGGCGGCGCGGGCAGGGGGCGCCAGGCGGCGAAGGGCCACGCTGTTCGCCGCGCACCCAAGAAGGACCAGACAGAAACAGTGGAAGGTCGTCACCTAAGCTGTGGGCGCGCCCGCCTTTGCTTCGCCTCATTTCACTCTGGCCTCTCCTGGGTGTGGCCGTGCCGCCCCACGTGCTCCCCTGCGTCTCGGGCGCCGCGGGCGCCGCGGGCGCCGCTGGCGCCGTCGGCGCCGCTGGCGCTGCCGGTGCCGCGGCCGCTGTCGGCGGCCGCCCCCCCTTGGGCCCCCCTGCGCTGCGGGCGCCGCGGGCGCCGCGGGCGCCGCGTGCGCAGCGGGCGCCGCCGGCGCCGCAGGCGCCGCGGGCGCAGCGGGGGCCGCGGCCGCCGCCCGCTCCCCTCCCTCGGGCTTCCCTGCGCCGCGGGCGCCGCTGGCGCCGATGGCGCCGCCGACTCCGCGGCCGCAGCTGGAGCCGCGGGCGCCGCCTGCGGCCGCCTGCCCCGCAGCCTGCCCGGCAGCCCGCCCTCTACAGCAGCAACGGCTGGACGCCCCTGGAAGCCGGCTGCAGCAGCTGCCGCGCAGCAGCTGCAACAGCAGCAGCAGCCGCAGCAGCTGCAGCAGCAGCAGCTGGCGCCCAGGGGGGCGACGCAGCAGCAGGGCTGCTGCCGCAGCAACAGCAGCCTCACACGTGCCAATGCAGCTCGCAGCCTTCAGCTGCCTCCCTCTCCAATGCGTATCTCACAGCTTCAGAAGAGATGAGCCTTCAGCTCGGGAGTCACAGGCGGGGCGAGCCCCCTGCTCGAGACTCCTTGGCGCATCTGTTGATGCTCGAGCGGTTGGGGCTCAACCTGTGGCGGCACGAGCTCAAGCTATCACATTGCCAGTCGCCGGGGCCGTCGGCCACCACCTCATGCCCCATCGCTCCCCCCCTGGCAACAGCATTGTGGCGACAGGTGGGGGTGCTGCTGAGGGAGCGCCCGCGGTCGGAGACCAGTTTCCTCCCGACAAAAGGTCCACGACGTCTCCCCGAGCGGATGGTGGAGTCTCCACAGGCGCATCGGGCTCAACCTGTGGCGGCACGAGCTCAACCTATCACATTGCCAGTCGCCGGGGCCGTCGGCCACCACCTCATACCCCATTGCTACTTGCAAAGCCTGGGGCTGTCGATGCATTTGGTTTCCTTTCAGCGCGTGGCTCGAGCTCAAGCTATCACATTGCCTGTCGCCGGGGCTGTCGGCCACCACCTCTGATCCCATTGCTCCCCCCCTGGCAACAGTATCTTGGCG